CTTAAATATATGTTATATTTACTTGTATCAAGAGAGTCAGTTCATTTCTTGGTTGAGGAAGCAACCCTCCATCTCTTGGTTGAGGAAACAACCCTCCACTTGTTGGTTGAGGAAACAACCCTTCATTTGTTGGTTGAGAATGCCACCCTCCAAAAATGAATCACTTTCTTCTGCTTTCATTGTTTATGTCTTTCACTTCTATTGCTTGAGCTTCCTTCTTCCTTAGAGGAGTGAAACTCTTCCACTTTTCTAGAGATTTACCAAAGTCGTGAAGGGTAGAACGTGATTCACTTGTTCTTTGGTGAAGATCAGCTCTACGCTTATTGTACTTTACCTTGTAAGTTCTCTATTTGGAGGGATGAGTATCACTCACTTTTCTAGTTTTACCCAAGTCATGAAGAGTGAGTAGTTTCTCATTCACTCTTTAGTAAGAGGTGATGAACATGTATTGATTATGTGTACGTTATATTTGTGCATTTCCTTTATGCTTTAATGCTTTATGTTTCACTTATTGAATGATTGAATGCATCTAGCAAAGCTAAGGTACTTTGTATAATTATGGGTTCTTTCTATGTCACGGATGACTCTTGTATGGAAAGACCCGTTGGTTCAAGGCAAGTACCCTGACTAGATCTTCAAGACATATTTCAATCTTCACTATTATTGTGCTTTATCTAAAGAATGGAACATTAATGTCATGATTGGATGCCTTGTAGAAACACTTGCTTGTTTGTAGACGGGTTAAATCTTGGCACAAACAATTCTTGTCAACTTCTAAAAAGGCATCGGAATCATGTACTTAATTATCACAGTCCATCTTTACCTTCCGATTAACTTGTTGTTGAACCGGATGATTAATTACATGTTCTGATCCCCAAGCTAAAGGGTGATTGTTTTACATTTGAATTTACCTTATATTTTGTCTAGAAAACTCTTGAAAAGAATCTTCTATTCTATTCAAAGAAATCCTATAATTTCAAACTCTCAAGGTTTCCAGTTACTTGGTCTTTGTCACTGCTTACTTTAGAACACCAATCATAGTTCCCTGTGGATTCGACTCTGGACTTAACTGGATTATTACTACAGCTTGACCGCCTGCACTTGGGTGTACAGATTTTGGATCAAGTCAGCATGCATAAGTAAAGTTCTTTTCTCAAGTGCAATAAGAATAATTATTGTCAAGTAATAATGGAGCAAAATGTAAGCCTTATTAGCCTCGGTTATAAGCAAAATTTTCGTCTCGACAATGTAGTATGCAGTCCTCATGAAGAGAGACTACATTTTTGACTTAGCTTATACATTCGAACTTTAAGAGACTCCATATTATTTTGTCTCTTCACGAGACTGTTGTTTTGCCTCTTCATGATAAGATGACATGCAAAAAGAGACTGGATGACGTCCGAGGTCCTTTTTTCTTGGTTTTCACTTTACTCATTTTAGTAGTAGAAATAAAACCAGTTTACTTTGACAAATGATGGCTTCTAGTGAAAGAAGTTGTCTCAAATCTTATCGTGATAATGTATAAATACCTATTCGAAAGATTGACCGAGCTCCCTAATAAAAGATTTTTACATTGACAATGTCATGTAAGAAAACCCAACTAGTGTTTATACCTTTCGTTAGCTATGGGCTACAATTTTCAGGGTCAATGATGCTTGAGTTTTGTTAGGAACAAACACAACTTTCTTGTTTTTAATATACAAAGGAGGCATAAAACGAAATGAAAGATGGGACAAAGCTTGCCCGTTTGTATTTGTAATTATGCTTACGAGCAATAGTTTCTTGACTATGCACATATGACCACCATCAATTCATTTTTTACTAAAATAGACTACCGCTGCTAGTGAACAAATATACATATAATACACTAGTCGTAGCTCTTTATGAGATACCTATATTTTATCACTGGTTCAAAGTTTATAATGAAGAACATAGCACTTATCTTTGTATTTTTCAAACTTCGTGCATGAAGAGATATAATGTTGCAAGATACCGAGTTCCATCAACATAATAGTGATATACCAAGCTTCACGGGTCAAGCAAATATGAAGAGATCAATCCAGTTAAGTGGTTATATGTGTGGCATTTCTCTCTCCCTCTGTCTCTCTGTCTCTTTGTCTCTCTCTCTTTTGGCAAAAGAATTCCACTAATCTTGAACTTATGATATGCCAATAAATCTTAGGTAAATCGCTGTTCTTGGAGGCTCTGCTAATTAAAGCTATTTGTGAATATTTTACATATGGTCCAGAACCATGAAAGGCTCTATTGATTGCTAGAAGTTGCTCTGAAGTCTTCTAATGAATAACATTCTGATGTGGGTTTGTATTCCCATGGGTCAAGAAGTAAAGATCTAGCTAAAACAACGACAAAGGAAGACCGAGTGGTACGTCGTGGACATTCATAGAAAGACTGAACGATACACTCGAAGTGACGGTCAGACCTATGTGGGTGTTTTTCCATAAGGGCCCAGCTACATGTAAACACCAAACAAAAAGTAATAATGAAACTTTTATGAATAAGGATTTTGGTTAGTAGGTTACATCTACGGTGGAACCTACAATATTGTAATATTTTATATTTCAGTGGAATTGGAAGAACGATCGAAGTTCATAAAATGAGTGAATATCAAACATCGAATGGTGTGGACAAAACAAAAAGAATTCCTGACATGAATGGTTTTGAGGCTTGAGTAGGACTCACGAAGTAGATGATATGAAGATTTCAGGGCATGCTTGCTTCATTTCCCATAGATGATACCAAAATTGTACGGGATAATTTTCTCGCAATCACTAAAATGTTGAAGGTGTATCCTCAGTTTTCGAATATCATCCAGTCCAAGAACTACAAAATCAAAGAGAGGTTAGAAGGACCCTTGACATTGAGCCGGGGGAAGCCCCTTTGATGCCTAAGTCAATATTATGATCAATAATTTAACAGACAAGTGTATAAAACTAGAAAGATGGTAAAAATGTGTGTGTGTGTGTGGAGTATGGAGATGAGATGCTCATACTTAAGACCTCCTTACCTTTGGGGTTTCACTCATATTTAACGAGAAAGAGAGAGAGAGATATTTACAAACCACTCATTTTTTATTGGTGGAGTTAGTCAAACGCTGACACCTTTTTCTTTGAATCCTGGTCCCTTAGTGCAGCCACTTTTCTCAGATGATGGGACACCTCACAAAAATGTCCCGTCAATGTCCAAAGTTCTTGCTTGGCTATGTGCATCCATCCGTCTACACACTTAAACGTACACACACGAACAACGAGTGTGTGTAAGGGTCTCAAAATGTACATATTACCAAACTTGGGCCTCTATTATTTAGTGCCCTAGATTAGGGGCTAGTTTCATAGCACAAGTAGTTATAGTTGGGGTTTTTTCACTCCTTCAATACACATTTAATGTGAAATTCAACACATGTTCGCGTAATTGTGATAATCTTTCTATTCAAATTTGGTGCCCTCATCAAGGGAACCATATAAGGGTGTAACAGGCCACAAACCAAGACCCTCGATTGGCTATGATACAAATTGTCATGGCCCAATTCTATACCCTAAAGTGCTAAGGGTTTATTGGTCGCGGATACAATTTTTTAGACTTATTTGAGGAAAAATGTATGAATAAATTATTTATTCTATTAAGTTCAATTTTAATAAAAAATATTGTGTTTAGGTACAAAATTTAAATGAAATCAAAACTGTTTTACCTAAATATCTTCCCTTAAATTATGCATTAATGATTGACAATTATATATCTAACCAAATATGTAAAGATTTCATTAGACACTCTCACTATCTCTCCCTATTTTCTCTCCATCTCTATCTCTTTCCCCATCTCTCCCCTATTTTCTTTCTATATCTATCATTGATAATTTATTTTCATTTCAAATATATAAAGATTTGATTATTTATTTTCATTTCAAATATATAAAGATTTGATTTATTTTATCATCTCTCTGTTATTTTCTCTCTCTCCCCCCTATTTTCTTTAACCATTTCTATGTCTTTATTTATATCAACATTACAACAACACAATTACACTAATCAGTTACAATTATTTTATAATACACTAAAGAGTTACTCATATATTCTAATAAACCAAACAGTTACATCAAACAATTACATAAATTTATAACACCAACCCAATTTGTCATCAATAGTTTACAAAAACTAAATAGTATTTAATATCGCGACATCGTTATACCAATCATATATATCAAATTTAATATAATAGTAAAGTCTTTTGTGTAATGATAAACCCAATTTGATATATATAATTGGCGTAACCATGTCGTGATACTAAATAATATAACTTTTTGATTTATGTAAATAATAAAATGACAAATTGAGTTGGTGTTGTAATTTTGTATAATTGTTTAGTGTAACTGTTTGATTTATTAGAACACATGAGTACCTGTTTAGTGTATTATAAGGTAATTGTAACTAATTGATGTAACTTATTAGTGTAATTGTATTGTGTAACGTTGATATAAGGAGAGAGAAAAATGAAAAGAATAAGGAAATAAGGAGAGAGGGAGCGAGAGAAATGAACAAATTAAATCAAATCTTTACATATTTAAAAAAAATTATCAATATGAGAGAAAGAGAGAGCGAAATGGATAGAGAGAAAATTGGGAAGAGAGAATGAAATAGTAATGGAGAGAGAGGAGAGAGAATAATGGAGTAATAAATACTTTTTTAGTCTTTTATCAAAAAAATGCACTTAGGGCCAATTAACTTTTCTTAATATAGTTTAGTTCAAATAAGTTTAAATTTTTGTACCGACTTCTAAATTATCCAAGTGCTAACCATATTAGGGTTTCTCCAATATATTTTTAGGACACCCTAGTGGGCCGGGCACGTATCTTAACAAGTCCACTTAGACAAAAATCTTGGTTTGGGCTGGATATTTTTTGGGTGTGGGTTTGGACTTCTGCGCGTCAGATTGTTGGTGGGTTGTCTTCTGCTCTCTCTCTGTCTCTCCCTCCCTCTTCCCGAACCATGCCTGCAACACCTTCTCTCCTTATCCTCCACCCGCGCCTCACCTTCTCTCTCCGCCACTTTTCTTTCTCCTCCCCCTCTTTTCGAACTCGCAGACTCGCCCTCCTCAAAACCTACTGTTCTTCATCTTCAGCAGCTAACCTCAACGAAAATGCCCGGTCCGGCCGGTCCGGTTCACTCTCTTCTCCACCTACTCCTCCTCCTTCGGTCCTCGACTCCGTACAGAGAATCGACGTCAATCCTCCCAAAGGCACCAGAGACTTCCCTCCCGAGGAAATGCGCCTCCGTAACTGGCTTTTCCAGAATTTCAGAGAGGTACTGCAATTATGCACGTTTATTTATTTAATGTTTATACGAATTTCAGAGAGTTGTTGCAACTATACACACACATATATACATCTGTATGTTTGTGTATATCTATATTGTGCGTAATTTGTGAATTGTCTGAGGTGTTTACATATAATTATGGATGTATGTAACTTATAATGGGTATATGCTAAAGTTCGAGTAGGATCTGTATAGGTCACACCAAAAGTCCTGCTTTAACTTCCCCAGCTCCAGTTTAGCAGACGGGGGCAAAAAGGTCCCTCTTAGCTTATACAGTAGTATGGACACATGTGTAGTAATGTGTTTATTTTTCCATTTTTAGTCATATAGTCGTGTATGTGTCATATATTGAGTATATTTGTATGCATTGATTATCTGTTGAATAATTTAGGTTTCTCAAATGTTCGCATTTGAAGAGGTTGATTTCCCAGTGTTAGAGTCTGAGGCGCTTTTCATTAGGAAAGCTGGAGAGGAGATCAGAGACCAGGTTTGTGTTTCCTTTCTTGTTGGTACTAAAAAGAAGTCTTAAAATTCATCTCGGTGCCTTATCCTCTATGGGAGCATCTTAAAATCCTATGAATAACTATAACCGTTCTAAAGCCCTTACATTACCAGCATTATGCAAATATGTTAGAACTTTGATAATACAACCCTAGCAATTCTGAATTATAATTTAATACATTATATTTGTGTGAAACTCTGGCTATGACTGACGGACTGGAAAAAATAAATTTTTTTTTACTAAAACTGCAATGAGTAAAACTAATTGGATTGGATTGGATTACTATCTTCTACTTGTTGGTCAGAATTTCCTACAAGAATATGTTGCCATTATGGTGCCTTGGAATGTTGTGATTTAGGAGACATCATTTTTTGTGCTCGATTGTATTCAAGAAGCCCCCCTCTCCCCCTCTCTCTTTCTGGTAGGGTTTGCATAAAAATCCTATCTTGAAAAATGATTTATGAGGAGATAAATGAAGACAATAACCTTTTGAATCCAAACCACACAATTATAAAGGAAATGACGACTTCTTCAACTCCTAAAACACCACATTAATCTCCGCGTCACTGTAAAATCAAGTGAACACCTCTCATATTCTCTGCAAAAAGAAAGGAATGGTTTAGATTGCTGGTTTATGGCTTAAGGGGCTTTGTGGATTTTTATTCCCAGACATGCAGCGGCACACACCATGCATAAATGTGTGTTTCATTGTTTTCATTCTTTGTTTTATGCTGCCCTTGGTGAAAAACTTTGTTTTTCTTGTTCTAGCTGAATGTAATAATTTAAGCATTTTAAATTTCAGTATTGCATTGTTTGGAATTTTAGAAATTGTTTCTGCATTGAACTATGGCAACTTAATATAAGAAAAAGAGTAGTTTAAAAACAAAAAAAAAGATAATGAGATGTTTAAATTGTTTGGGATACATAAAGTTTGTAAAATGAATGCATTCAAATGGATGTCAAGCTTTGGAAAGTTTTTTTTTTTATGATAAATGACTAAACAAAATAACATTGTGTTTCCTTTTCTGTATTGTGCAGCTTTACTGTTTTGAGGATCGGGGAAATCGTCGAGTTGCGTTGAGGCCTGAACTTACTCCTTCTCTGGCTAGGCTTGTCATACAAAAAGGGTAAAACTTTAATTTTGGGGTATTTCTATGTCTTTTTTCCTGTTTCTTTTCAGTTTGCCATTTCTTTTAGATGGTTATTCTTTGTATTTCTGTCCTGGGCTACTCTTGGATTTGGATTTGCAAAACTTTTTGATCTGCAATCTATTTATTCATTGTCATCTATGACCTTTGTATCCAGGTACAGATGCCAGAATTTGATCTCCATGTTTTTTTATGTCCAGAAAATCTTTATCCCTCCCATTAAAGTGGTTTGCTATTGGACAGTGCTGGCGTTATGAAAGAATGACCAGAGGACGGCGTCGTGAGCACTACCAGTGGAACATGGATATCATTGGTGTATCCGATGTAACAGTAAGTCAACTTATAGTTTACTATCTTTCTACATATTTTTCTCATTTTGCCTCCAAAAAACATATTCTTTTGATTTGGTTATGAAGCAAACTTGATTTATCCTTTGTTGCATTGTGCTTTCTCATAGGCATTAGTTATCATCATAACCTATTAGTTTATTTTACTTATCAAAACAAAAACCTATTAGTTTATTTGATAACATGTTGCATTTTTTCCATTTTGGCATGCCTTAACATGGTTGGCCATGCTAATTTTATTTAGAAGCAAAACAAGTTAATGTTTGGTTCACTTTTCCTCTAAAATATGTGCCCTGAATCGTTGTAGAAAAATTAAAAAACAAAAGGTTAACTTGAACCTATTTAGATAAAAAAAAAGTATAGACTAAAAGGTTGTGCATAAATTCAGGAAATATATGCATGAATGTGGAGTATTGTTTGATTGATGGATAATGGACGCCTTTAAGGGAGTTTTCTGTAAAGCTACTATGAAACTAGCCATGTTATGAAACAACAATGGATAGCCTTAAAAAAAGAGTTAACCGATCAAACATAGTTAATCATGAGAGTAGACATGTGGTAGGATGAGAAAAGGACAAACTACAATTGTATACAATCTTGAGAAGCTAGGGGCAGCTCCAATGGGGGGAGACAAAATAAGAAAAAGTTCATAAGATGGAATGTCAATGTGTCCACTTATAACGAAGAACATTAACTGCATATGAAATGATCCTAATTGAGTGTATTGCTTCGGAAGGGGGAGGTAAGGAGAAGGATGTTGATTGATGTCATGAGGGATGATAGAGAGGGTAATGTTTACTTGGATGTTGTGACGGTGACACCGTATGGAGTACCACGTTAATAAAGCATGCATGTAATTGGCCAAAGTTGTCATCTCTATAGATTGTTGGAATTATTTATTGGAGAGAATAAATGCTAATAGCTGCTCAACATAAGCATTACAGTTTTACAGATACGTATCCATGCATATATCTTTCTATATCACATCCATAACTAAGCTATTCACAATCAATCAGCATTTGGTTTTGAATTTCTTATTGTTGATTAATATAAACATTATAATAACAAAAAGGAAGAAAACACAAATTTCTTCAGGCATGCTCCTTGTCCAAAAGAAATTTGAAAATCTAAGGAAAGGTTCCCTTCAACTTCTTATGTTGCAACCCAAGGGGTCAACTTGAGATGAATCATAAATTTAGACGTCCTGGTGTCAATTCTGGTTGGTGTCTCTCAGGTTTAACGGATTCCTGTGGTTAGCAGGTGCTACACGGGTGAGTTCAATGTTACCCTACCTTAAAGAGGTTCCTTATTGAAAAAGAAAAACTTGTTTACGTTGCAATGGATTCCAACTTCAGATTCACTGCTTATAATTTGTGAAGGTCTGCCAGAAACACCTGTCCATGTGTAGACATGCACATCGATACATTTATATATATTGCTAACTAAATGTACACATGGGTAAATATATAAGTTGAATATATCCAAAGCATTTATTTTATTATAAAAAATTAAATGCAGTATCCACCTTTCCCCTCTCTCCCCATAATTTCTCAGTTTCTGCCATTGATTAAATTCTGAAGCTGCATTACATGATTTACTTCGTAGTTTTGAGTTTGATGATCACATGAAAATTCTCTCTTATATTTGTCTGGCGTAACTTTTTGTTCTTCATGTTCTAGGCTGAGGCTGAGCTTATTTCTTCTATTATCACCTTTTTCAAGCGAATTGGGATCACGGCCTCAGATGTTGGGTTTAAGGTGTCTAGCCGGAAGGTGCAAATGGAACCCTTTTTGGTTGTGTATGATTTTAGTATCCTAGACAACATAGGTCCTTCCTTATATTTTGTTTTGTTTTTCCTGTTACTTCCTGTGGTAATGGACAAAGGTTTTGTGTTGTCAAAGCTTTATACATGTTTATTACTAAAGACTTTTGTAAAATAAGTTGAGCTTCAGCACTAACAATTTGCTCTCCTGAGCCAAGTTCTCCACTTGCATTATGAAAGTATTTCAAGTTGTACAACTAGTTCACTAATTGTCAACTAAATGTCAAGATGGACAATAGTTGCACTTTGTTTTCATGGGTAAAGAGCAACTACATAGTTGATGTTTGATAGGTAAGGGTTTTAGTCAAACTATTGACATATTTACTTTAAAGGTGTTGACATAATGTTTTTTGTCTATTTGTAAACATGGGCGAAAGAATAATTCTATGCTTTGAAGGAAGAGGGTTTCAAAAAAATAAGGATTGCTGATAAGAGAAAAAGCACTAAAGAACCCATCTTTTTCAGCTTAATTTTGTTTGTGTAAATTAACAAAGCGTGTAGACATTATATGATTATATATGGATTTCTGTTTGAATACCAAGGGTCTTCTTTATGGTGGATACATTCAAGAAGGGACTATAGCTCAACAACTATTATAGATTTCTTCAGACTTTGTAATGGAGAACACCGAGTTTTAACCCAATAATTCAAATTTGCATGTGATCCAACCCTTCGGTGCAGATGAGTGCAATTATTAATGTAGGGCAGTTGTGGATGTTAAGAGTATTAGAGTAGTATGTGTAAATTATTAATAGTGTTAGGGTGTTATGTGTAAATACAAGAGGGTGTATGTGTTATTTTTATTATTGTGAGTTAACTATAAATCCAAGTGATGTATGAGAGTTAGGTTAAGTTTTTGACCTATCTCTGTTACTCTCTATTATTGTGTTAATCCTCTACATTTAACATGGTATCAGAACAATTATAATTCTAAATATATTTTGAATAAATTAACTCTATTTGTGGTGGTGGTACTGTTGTTCGTCGAAGCTACAGTGGTGATGGTGATACTGTTGTTCGTTGAAGCTACAGTGGTGGTGGTGATACAGTTGTTGTGGTTGATCTGTGTTGATGTGGTGGTGTTGTTGCTAGTGGTGGTGGTGTGGTACTGTTGATCATTGTTTGCCATCGTTTGGTGTTCATCCTGGTGGTGTGCCTGTGGTGGTGTGTTCGTCGTGGTGGTGTAGCTGTGGTGGTGTATTGTTGATTTCTTCGTCTTGGTGTAGCATCGTTGTGGTGTGGCCATCGTGGTGGTTTGTCGTTCGTTGTGTTGGTCGAGGCACAGTCGAAGACTAGGGTTTACTGGAACCCTAATCGACGAAGAAGAAAAGGTCCAGACCCAAAAAAAAAGGTCCAGACCCGACTTCACGGGTTTAAACCCAAGTCATACCCAAGTCCAGCCCACTTCGGTCCAAACCCAATCAGCTCGGGTCTAATCAGATCGGGTCTAGCCTAGACCAGATCAATCCCGGTTTAGCTAGTTTTAGACCAGTTCATTCAGTAGTCCCTCTGGTTCAACGGTCCAGTAAGCTTCTGTGGCTCGGTTCAGATAGTGTTGCACCGGTTTAGACTGGTTCAGTTAATGTTTACTTCGGTTCAACGGTCCAGCAAGCCTAGTCTACTCAGTTCAGTGGTCCAGTAAACTCCTGTGGTCTGGTTTAGTCCTGTTATCCGGTTCAGTCTTCCAGCAGCCTTAGCAGGTCTAGTTCAGTCTTTCAGCATCCTCTTTTCTTCTGATTCAGCATTGCAGCACTCCTTGTTTGCTATTTACTGCATTGTTAAGGAACCCAAACAAGATACTAGGTCCCTTACTCCATCTTTGCTACCTACCTCTACTCCTCCGACTATTATCAATATTCCCATGACCTCTGTTAAATTTAATGGGGCCAATTATATTTTATGGTTTTGATTCGTTCAAGTCTTTCTTCGAGGCAAAGGATTTAAGAAATATTTGGTAGATCCTAAACCCAAGGAAAATACTTCTGGGTATGATCAGTGGGAATAAGTGGACGCTCAAATCATTTCTTTACTATTGAATAGTATTGAGCCTAGTATTAGTTTTACTTTGCTCTACCTTGGCACTACTAAGGAGATATGAGATCACTTGACTACTATGTATTTTGGTACAGGTAATTTTACCAGAGCTTATGAGGTATGCAAGGACTACTTTTAGTTAGAACAGAGTACTTTGAGCATTGAGAATTATTACTCTCACATTCGGGGAGTTTGTGAGGAGATGAAGACCTACCATCCGTTTATTATTGATGCAGCAGTTTGGTAGAAGCAACATGAGGACATGAATGTTGTTAGGTTTTTGGTAGGATTGAAACCTGAATATGAGGCTAGTTTAGGAAGCACGGATACTCGTCAGGGGGTCGCCATGGCAGTGTCAGACACGGATACATGTGTTCGAAGTCGGATACGTGTCCGACACTTGTAGAAGTGTCCTGAATAGTGGCTTTGATTTTTTTTGGTTGGATACGACTTAGATACGTGGGGTACACGGGAGGGATATGACATGGTTCTTTTGTTATTTTAAAAACTTAGGGAGCCGAAACGGAAAAAAAAAATAGGGTTTCGTACGTCATTTTGGCTTGAAAAATTAAAAACAAAAGGGCAAAAGGTATCGTTCACACCCATCATTTAGTTTGTTCGACACAGAGATAGAGAGAAGAGGAGAATGAGCTCGAGAGGACCAGAGAAGGAGAAGAAGGAGAGGGAAGAGGAAGGGAGACTAACCTGCGACCTGCGATTCTGCCCAGTCTCAATTTTTTTTTTTTTGAATCTGTTACTTGGTTGAAGAGGTATACATGGAGCAGCCATCTGGGTTTATTGGTTTAAAGCAGTCATCGAGAGCATGATTTGGTAAGTTTTCAGATGCAGTTTTAGAGTTTGGTCTTCTTCGATGTCAGACAAACCATTCTGCGTTTCGTAGACAGACGGATGCTGGATATGTTCTATTGGTGGTCTATGTAGATGATATTGTGATTACTGAAAATGATTCTGAGGGGATTGCCAAGTTAAAAATTTTCTTGCAAGATCGATTTTATACTAAAGATTTAGGAAAACTCATGTATTTCTTGAAAATTGAAGTGGCTAGATCTAAACAGGGTATTTGTTTATTGCAGAGAAAATATGTACTTTACATGCTGGAGGAAGCAAGTTTGCTGGATGGCAGACCGATTAATGTTCCTTTGGATCCGAATCAGAAACTATTGATGGATAATGGTGTATTGTTTGAGAATCTAGGTCGGTATCGCAGATTGGTTAGGAAGCTCAATTATCTCATTATTACTTGTCCGAATATTTTCTATGCAGTCAATATAATAAGTCAGTTCATAGGGTATCCTAGAGTACCACATTGGGATACAGTTAGTTGTATTCTGTGATATCTCAAATGGGTTATTAGACTTGGACTGTTATATCGAGCTAATGGACATCTAAGAGTGGAAAATTTCTCAAATGCTGATTGGGCTGGATATTCTTCTGACCAGATCAACCACTAGTTATTGTATTTTCTTAGGAGGTAACATTGTCTCATGGAAAAGTAAGAAAAAATCTGTGATAGGAAGATCCAGTGCTGAGGTTGAGTATAGGGCAATGGCGTATACGACGAGTGAATTGACTTGACTACTACACTTCCTACAGGAAATTGGGTTTTCAGTTCAACCTCTTTTACAATTGTTCTATGATAACCAGACAGCTATTCATATCGCTGTCAATCCAGTGTTTCATGAGAGAACTAAATATATTGAGGTTGATTGTCACTTTATTTGGAACAAGATACTAGTTGGGGAGATTACGACTCTATTTGTGAAATTTGAAGATCAGCTTGCAGATATGTTTACCAAAGCATTGAGTCGTACACGTCTTACAATGATTTGTTCCAAGCTTGTATTATATGATATATATACTCCAGCTTGAGGGGGAGTATTAAGAGTATTAGGGTAGTATGTATAAATTGTTAATAATGTTAGGGTATTATGTGTAAATACTAGAGGGTGTATGTGTAATTTTTATTATTGTGAGTTAACTATAAATACCAGTGATGTATAAGAGGTAGGTTAAGTTTTTGACCTCTCTTTGTTACTCTCTAGTATTGTGTTAATCCTCTACATTTAACAGTGGAGAATCTCTGTTATAAGCCTTTACTACATTTTCATGTTAGGCAGCAGGAAAAAAGGTTTCTGGAGCTTGTTTTTTCTAGGTTTGTGCCTGAAGAATAGAAAGGAAGATATTGGATATCAAGGGTTCAAGAAAAGGTAGAAAAGGTTACGGGTTGAGTCTTTATTAGGCTGTAGCTAAGCCTTATTTGGCCATCCCATCCTTTGGAGCATGATGATAGTATTTTTCATTCCTAACTCTGACCTACCTTAACTTCATATACAGATGATGACCTCGAACTTCCTGCGGATGTACTTTGATGTCACTAGCTACTTCCGTTCCCATTCCCATAATTGGCATTGACAAAATACTTTGATGTCACTGAGGTTTGATGTCACTGAGGTTTCTGCTTGGGAAGAGGTTAAAGCAGGGCCTGCTGGGCTTGCTTCTCGTGAGTTGGGTTAGCAAATTGGAAAGGGGCTCATTAACAGGGTGGGCTTTTGGGGAAGTGGATGGAAGGTGGGGTCACTTAGTGGCTAGGGTGAGTCTTCCTACACAGTTGGACTTCCGACTCTAGTTGACCAACATTAACTTTGTACCTGAAAGTCACATTCGCATGGGTAATATATTCTTTTTTTGCAGAATTTTATGCTCCATACACAAAGAGAAAGGTTGGCGGCTGTTCTCGGCACTGTGAGGAAAATCAGATCAATTAACTTTTGGTCGTTTGTGGATTTTAAGATAAGGATTAAGGGCTTATCACACTATGCTCTTGGGGTTAAAGTAAGGAAGATAATAAAATCTCTTGGCATCAAATCTAGATACCATCTGCATATACGAGCCTTGGGGTGGAAATACATCTTGCATTTTGAACGGGCTGCAAAATTTTAAATTTTCTGAAATGATCTGTACTCTAGTGGACTTTGAATACCGAAATCAGATGCCTTGTGTTATTGCCACAATCCATGTTCAGCTAATAGAAATTTGCCATGAATTAACCCAACATAATGTTAGCGGGTGATAAATGGACTCAAGCCACTACTTGGGACTATATATGGGCCCAAGTTGGCCAGCTTTGAAAATAAATCAGATTGCTTCACATTTTTTGCCCAGCAAGTTGATTCACCCAAATTTTCTTTTCCCTGAGCTTCTTAAGGACTGCATTGTACGTATGTTGACCACCTCATTTTTTCATGCAGTTCAATTTGGAAGCTTGATGAATATGGACATGATCTCTTCTTAACTTACCAGTCTGAGAATTATTATATGTACTTTCTGTATCTTGTTGAACTTAGGTGGGTTATATTTATGATTGATTTATTTCTTTATTCACAGGTTTTACAAGAAGTTTTGAGGTGCTATTCCATACCAGAGAATCTGTTTGGAAAGGTTTGCATTATTATAGACAAGGTCAGTTCCACAATCAGTCAGCTTTTGGATGCTGGTGCTTTTTTCAGTTACTCTTTCTATATGGCTACTTATATTGTATGATGCGATCCTGGCTAGTGGTTTTCACAAATTGGATAAATGATGCCACAATGGCCACTATATTTTCTTGATTATAATAATGGAACCTTCTTAATGTTAATTTGTTCCATCTTCCAAGCATATGCCAGGTTCCAAGTAATATAGGACAGGCGTGAGGTATTACCCACAAGGCTGCTTCCTGGCTACATGGATTAATGTAATATAGTGCTCGAAAACTTAACTACCTTTTGCCTACTATTAAATTCATTGTGGGCTTCGGTTGTGGAAGATCTGTACATTAGGGGAACATTTGGATACAGGACTAATCAGCAGGACTGAACTGAGCTGGTTAGGCAGAACTAGCCTTGGGATTTTTATTTGTTTTCCTTGCAGATGTAAATATCCAATCTGCTCTGGTGTTCACAACGTGCTTGCCATATTGGAAGTCTTTTTGTGTTTTCTGCTTTATTTCTTTGTCAAGTTGGATATTGACATTCCTGGACCCGTGGTTTGTTGCACCTGATTGCCAAAATATTACGAGAACCAAGTTCAATTTTTATTGCTGGAATTTTCTTATTCAACGTACAATCTCTAGATTTTCCTATGTCATCTAGATTACCCACTTATATTTATTTAATTATTGAAACAGATAGAAAAGATTCCTATTGATGAAATCAAGAAAGAGCTGAGGTCTGCTGAGTTATCAGATGAGGCTATAGAGGAGCTATTGCAAGTACTCTCTCTTAAGTCTTTGACAAAGTTAGAAGGTTGGATGTTACTGCATTTGATTGAGACGTGGTCTACACTGTTTTGTGTTTTGTTCCAGTTGAGGTTCTCCCCTCCCTGGAAAACTGTTTTTCTTGATTTGTAGATTATAATATGCTCATCTAAAGAATCCCTTTTGGTTCTGCCTTGCATGTTTTCATTCAACCGTTCTTGGCCCACTGTACAATCATTTCAGTATTCTAAGCCCTGCATTTGTAAAGATAAAAGTATTTTTGCGGAGTGAGAGATCATAATCAATCAACGTACGATTGTAGTCGATGAGTAGTAACCGATGTAATGACAATTGCAGGTTTTCATAAGTATCATTATACTTGTGTTTTTGGTTTAGGATTCATTGGGCTGGGTTAGTAGTCAACCAAAATGTGTCTGGGTTAGCAGTCCTTGCTTTAAAGTTCTAGATCCTGCAGTGCTTTCTTGACATGTTTGCAATCGCAAAGGGGCATTGCAGTGTAATGGGAAAAGCTTGTTCTTTTCAAGCTCGAAATGCATGCTAAATTATCTTGTATCAAATTGTAATTGTGATTCTTTGGCATATCATAGGAATAATAACTTTTCAGATAAAAAGCATATTATGTGGTGAATTATTTCTTAATGTTTATTGGCTTTATGTAGAGAAACTTGGAGAAGCTGGGGAAGCAGTTGCTGATCTGAAGCAACTATTTTCACTTGCTGAAAATTTTGGATATTCTGAGTGGATTCAGTTTGATGCATCTGTTGTCCGTGGTCTAGCCTATTATACTGGAATAGTATTTGAGGTTGGATTCATAATTTCCTGTAACTTTCTTCTTAATTTGCCTGCAAAGTGTGAAAATTGTCATAAGACAAAGACGCTTGGATTGGCCTTTATTAAATCTTTTACTTATAAGAAATAAAAGAATAGGAGAGAAATTGTAAATTCTGTTATTTCTTGTGGGAATAATTGTTAGAGCATCCACCCAAAACTAATTGGCAATGAGTGCAGTAGTCCCCTCAAGTATATAAACTAACCTTGGTGGTCCTAATTATTCGTTGTGAGATACAATCCCTCTTAACACCCTCCCTCACATGGGACAAGGGCTCGCATTTTGGTGTCAACAAACAAGTAAACAACTATGCATACCGGGATTCAAATGCATGAGAGACTTGGCCTATTGACCACCCAAGGCCAACCTCTGATGTCATGTTAGAGCATACAAATCAAAATCAATTGGCAATGGTGAAGTAGCCCCTCAAGTATATAAACCAACCTTGGTGGTCCTAATTATTCGATGTGGGATACAAACTCTCTTAACAATAATAACACTCTCTTCCTTAGTATTGGTCTGATAGCTAGTGGAGGAGACTGTTGTTACCTATGCTGGGCGCTTTTAGTTTTGGAGTGTTATTGAGGTCTGAGGGTAGTATGATAGTGGTAATTTGGCAATTATAGATCAACAATATGGCTAAGATTGATATCCAAGACTATTTCAGCATGGTGACCTTGTTATCATTGGAAGAGCCTACAGAATGTAATCCCAATTTTATTCCTTGTGTCAAGTGTCGTATCTTTTTACAGTAGCCAAATAATATACGGAGACAGATATGAGCACGAAGACTGCCTTATGCACGAAATCAAAGTGCTATGGAACACATGAAACCAGTCTGAATTCCTGTCCCATTTAGAATCCCACATGGTGCAAATGTCTGGAAATTTGGATATGGATCTCCTATTTTAATCTGCTTTCTTGATGTTCTGATTTTGAAAAGCAAGTAATAATAAAAGCAGAAAAGATATACGTGTCCGTAAAATAGCTGTTATCCACATGGATAAAAATTTGTAGACACAAAGTATAACTTGATCTTCAAATGTGTATTTCCTCTTTTTTTCCTCCCTTGACGTACTAATTTTTTCATTTTTCAAAGGGATTTGATAGAGAAGGGAAGCTGCGAGCCATTTGTGGTGGTGGGCGGTATGATCGCTTACTCTCTACTTTTGGAGGAGATGACATTCCTGCCTGTGGCTTTGGATTTGGTGATGCTGTAATAATTGAAGTGAGTTGAAGCCTTCTATAGTCTATCCATTTGGGTCGAAGGACTTAAAATGAGCCTGATGAAAATTGGCTTGTCTAAATTTGGAAGGAATGGTTATTACCTACCGAGTACGGATACGGGTACGATACAATACGGATACGGCGATACGACAAAGTCTAAAAAAATAGAATACGGATACGGTCAAGATACAACTATAATAAAATACATTTAATATTTTTATTATTTTTAACCAACTTAATACTTATATATTTTAGTAGTTTTTTAACATATAATAAGAAAAATTAGTAATTCTTTTTAGCTTCATGAAAATATAGATTGTGTCACTGTGGTATATTCGCAAAGTGAACTGACTAATTAAAAGAATCAAAACTAATATTTACCTAATATTTAGAAGTAATTTTTGCTAAGATTATAATGTAATAGTTTTATTTTATACTATTTTGACATGTAATTGTAGATAATACTTAAAAAACACTCATGTACCTTTGAAGTAATATGAATTTTTTGTTAATGTATTATATGGTATGTGAATTCGAAAAGATATGTTAAAAGTTCAACTAAAAAATTATATATGTTGTTCGACTACAAAAATATCCATGAGGTATTCTAATATTTAATTATTATCAGTACGTAGAAGGTATATTTGATACGTATCTTCAAGTATCCAATAAGTATCGTATCCGATACGTTATCCGATACGGGTACGTCAACTTCAACGAAGTATCTGTGCTTCATAGGTTATTACTAACAAATTTGTTTCTTTGTGAAAGTTATTAAACCACCATATATTCTAAAAGCTTAAACTCTTAGAGATGGTGCAACTTACCTATTTATATTTCAACATGCTCCACGGACAACATTTTTGGCCTTGATGTGGTAATCTTTTAATTATCAAAGTGGCGTTGAGATTCGAACACAGAAGCTCCTCCTCTCATTTGGAACTATGTTACATCACCATCTTTAAACCATCGTCTACTTTAAAAGTTTAAGCTCTCTCAAAGATGTAACTTAAGTATTTATATTTCAACACGTGTCAAATGTTTGTAATAGCAATTGGGCGTCTTGGTCAATGATCTTTTTTCAGCACGGGCATGAATTTGAAAATGTATGGAATAAACAATGTACATTGTATTGCTGATGTTTGCACAATCAGCAACTGGATTCTGTTACTTGTACGGATGCTTTCTTCCATTTCAAGTATACCTACCATGTTCAAATGTCTCGAAACAATTTGGTTTAGTTTCTATATTACCCTTGTGGTGCCTGTTTAGCTGCTCAAGGAGAAAGGCCTTATACCAGAAGTTGGTCCCCAAGTGGAGAATATTGTGTGTTATCTGGATGGTGATCTCCAAGGTGCAGCTTCTGCTGTTGCTACCATTCTGAGAGGAAAAGGGCAAAGTGTTGATTTAATATTGGAGAATAAACCACTTAAATGGTATATACTTATGTTTCTCCAATGTTACAACGTTTCTCCTTCTATGCATATTATCGGATGCATGGTCACTTTGTATATCCTCCTGTTCCTCCTTTTTGCAGGGTGTTCAAACGGGCAGCACGGATAAATGCACACAGGCTAATATTGGTGGGAAGTTCTGAGTGGCAAAAAGGTATGGTTCGTGTGAAAATCCTTTCATCTGGTGAACAATATGAAATCAAAGTTGACGAACTAGAGTGAAAAGATTGTTTTCTAGTTCCTTTGAAGTGTTGATTTTTGGGACACATACTTCTCCCATTTTTGTATGTTTATAGTATTTGTTTCCATATTTTATACCCCATGCATCAGAATCTTAGATGATATTTTTTCCTTCTCTAGGAGCTATGAATTTAAATTGCCTTTATTTAATGATCTTCGTGCTTGGTAGGTTGATGCTTGGTTTCCATTTTTAGATGCTTTGGCATTGCACTTTTGCTTTGTTGTGCTACCTAGCTTCTGAGTCATGACCTGCCCAATAACTCGATTGGCTTCTAGGAGCCATAACTGCTGCTTTAATTGATGTAGCCTGTAGAGACATGACATTCTCAAACAAGATCCAGAAGACCAGATGATGCATATACCTGTGCCAAGACAGTAGGAAATCTAAATCTAAATCTGATTTGAAAATTCAATCAAGAATCAGATACAATAATCAGGCGGATTTTATTTTCACAATCCATATTCGAATCCGTGGAAATTGATATTCGATTTGAATATCCGATCCTATTTGGATATTTGATTAGGATTGATTTTAGCCCGTCACACCTAAATTTTAACTCGGTTGTCTCAAATAATCATAAAATTAATAATATACTCACAAATTTCCATAAAAATCAATCAAATGTTGATAAATCTGAATACGAACCTTGACATAACAAATTGGATATGGATTTGGATAATTGATCAAAAATCAATCAACATCCGACTAAACAGATTCGGATTAAAAATTTGATCCATTTACAGGTTTAGCTACAAGTTCATGTAATTTGGTAATAGAGAAAAAAATGCAGGGACATAACTTATTTGCTGTATTTGGAAGGGTAGCACATTGGATTACAGGGTGCATTCAGTGTGATAATGGTTGCTTGAATGTATATGATTATTGGCTTTGGAAGATGCACTTTAGGTGCTATTAATAACCTTCCAAACAAAGAATGCATTGCTGGCATGAAATTTTGTCTAGATTGACACCCATTGCGTGACATAAAATGGTCCTATGTGATTTCTACTGTTCAGAATTTTCTGCATTCAAAGCCAGACATTGATTTTCAGAGTTTTTGTTATTGAATTAATAGATGCAAGTTTTCTTACCTTGTGAATGATGATTCCTTGGTCATTTTTCTAAAACGATTAGCCCGGCCATGTGACTTGGCGATGATGCTGATACTTATAGCTACTTGCTTTGTTAGAAAGCTAAGCGACTAGTTTACTGTTGAGAGGTAGCGAAGAGGACAGATAGGTTAAAGATAGGTTAGCGCTAGTTAGTGTTAGAGAGCTTGCTGGATGAGAGCAGAGCTTGAAAGTACTTGAGAAATAGCTTCATATAAATATTCTTCTTGTAAGCTTGTATATACATATTTAACTGCATCTTAGGCAACAAGCCAACCAACAATCTGGGTTGGGGCTGTAGTTACAGGTTATTCCACCATTCTATTCTCCGTATTGATAAAAGCTTATATTATTCTGAGGGAGGTTTATTATGCTCTCCACCAGGGGCTGGTTTTTTTTCCCCCTCCCTTTCTTGGCTAAATTAGGATTGCCTATTTCAAATTAGAATAATTTCTTATCCTGCCTAAGTTGCAAATAAGCTGAGTTAGTGATATGATAATGGTTCTCGTAAGGCACACAAGTTCACGTTTGGGATAGGCCTTTTTTTTCAATAATGGCTGTGTTCGGGAAACCTGACCTGGCTTAGCTTAGCATGATTGGTAGCCCTTCGAAGAAAGGGTGGAAAATAAACACTGGGATGACTAAAGTTCCTATGGCTTGGTGGGAAACAAGACAAGGAAAAGTCAAGGTAAATATTTTACTCGTATTATCTTCTACCCATTGAAGGTATAGATATCAATTATCATATCAAATTACGATTAATTGTTTCTCTTTTATTGAGTTTGACAAATTACAAGTTGATATACCATGTGTTACTTGAGCAATTTGTGGTGCGAATTAGCAAAGAGAAAGTAAAGCTCAAAAATGGAGAAAGTTAAATTCAAGCCAAAGAAAGCTGCTCTGTTGCCTTATCGAAAGAGTCAAAGACACCCATGGAGCTTGGGGATCTACTGGTGAGATAGTGCCCCGTAAGGGTCATCTTGGTAATGATGACCTAGGTTCAATTCATGGGGAGTAGACAACTGATTTGCTTTTGGCGGTTTGGTGGGATTGGGGTTAAGTTTTGACTCTAGTTGTCTTACCGTTTAGTCCCCTCTGAAAGACTATCTAGTAGGTTCGGGCTGCTGTGATCACGCCCAGACACGATCTTTATGTTGGTAGACCTTCACTACCCATTTTAAGCCGAGAAGAAGGGAAAAAAAAAAACCCACTACTGATCCGTAAGAAAGAAGGCTCACTTTACGTGAGGCATAGGACTCTCAAAAGCCTCCCCTGCATTTTTTTTCTGCAAAACATAATTTTTGCCCTGAAGTTTACACCTCGTTTGTATTTGATCCCCTTGACTATCAGGTAAACAATCAGCTCTTCCAATTTTAAGATGTTTTTGAATTAAGTCTCATGGTCCCTAGAATATGCACTATTTATCAATTTTGGCCATTTTTTGTTCTTCAATTTATTAAATTTGTATTTAATTAGTTTAATTAGTCACGTCTATTTAAATTGATACCGTAATCATACCATGTGCATGCGCTGCTTACGTACAATTTGAAAAAAAAAAAAACGTCAAGTCATTCAGAATTTGGAACAACAAAGCATGGAGCCAAACAACTAGTATTTTCATATTTCATTCAGATAGCCACTCTATTCTTCTTTGTCTTCACCCATTTCTCAGCAATCAAAGCACACCAACACAAATTGGAGAGTTTTGTATTCGCATGGTTTTACCGTGGTTTGGTTGGTGATGGTGGCTAAAGAGAGGTGGGTTGCGAGGGTTGGGAATGGATGTACTGGGGGGAGAGGAGTGGCTTTGAGGGCGAGGGATTATTGTGAGAGGGAGGGAGATGCGTGGGTCGGCGGGGGGAGGAAGGATTTGATGGGAGGGGGAGACAGGATCCAAACAAGTGGACTTGTCCAATCTATAATTCCGAGAATTAAACTCTCTCTCTCTCTCTCTCTCTCTCTCTCTCTCTGTAGCCTAAGACGGTACACCGAACTCTCGAACCGTCGATCTGTAATGGATGTTGGATAAATGTGTAATTGTGTATAAGCCATGATTATTTTTTGTATTTTGATACACTAGAGAACATAATAGGAAATAAAAAAAAAAAAAAAGAAAATAGATTATTGGACCTACTTATAAAAACATATATATATATAATATGCGTCTTTAATAATCCAAAAATATTGCGCCTAAATCTATTGACAGAAGAGATCCCAATATTATACTTCGTTACAATTTTCACATGGGAGAGCAAATGTAAGCGACCAAAGGATGTGGCAATGATATGGAGATGCTTTTGGTCCTTCTTTTAGTCATTTAAAATTCATACTTTACTTATCATATTGGTCTATTATCATTCGTCCTCTAATTTTAGCCAATAGCATTACGCACGAAACTATAATGTATACCAAAAAATTTTTTGGTTGTGAGTACACATTGGAAGACATATTTGGCTTTAAATACACATGCTAGACTTGTAAGCCATTAAGTCATTTTATTCCTAGAATTACGGATAATAGGTCCACATTTTAAATTTTTTTTTTAATTACCTAGATATCTCCTACCTTAATTCATGCATAGCTGATTGTCAATTTCTTTCTTTTTAATTATGACAATATTAGATTTGAAATTTTCAGTGGATTGTATCTACTGTTTTTGAAAATTCAATCTCAAATCATCTGCCATTAACTTCTTCATCCGATGTTTGTCTTTTTTAATTACCTAGATATCTCCTACCTATTGCTTGATCCCCAACCACTCCATCAACCTTTGCAGAGCAAGGAATCTTCCTCGGCCGAATAGTCACTTGTAATTTTGATCTGCCTGACTTTTATGCTTTGTTTGATAGAAATGATGAGAAGAGGGATAGAAAGTATGAGAAATATATTTTCTGTCTTTTAAAGAAGGAAAGTATTAATGATTAAATTTTTAAGATGGAAAAGATATTTTTTTATTATTTTAAAATTTTTTTATTTTTATTTTTATATTTTTTTAAAAGTATAAATATATATTTTATCATGTTATTTATATATTAAATTAATATATATATAATATGTGCATATATCAAGTGATATATAGACAAATAAGATACATTTTAACACAAATAATTAATTTTCTATCTACTTTCCTTCTAACTTTGGACAGATTAATTTTGGTGAATTGAAAGGAAAGTTCATTCATTCACTTTTCCATCATTCTTGTTTTCTTTTTTTACCAAACATAATGTTTTATCTATCCCTCCAACTTTTCATCCTTCTATTTTTCTATCGTATCAAATAGAGCATTAAGTTAACGGTTAAACAACATCAGTATTATCAAGTGGTGTAATCATCCAATGTTAAATAAACAAGTGAAAAATGTGACCCTATTTTTTTACATGGAGTAATTACCAGCTTAAATGAGGGTTTGCGCGTAAATAATAGTTTTTGTTATAGCACCGAGAATCAATGTCGTTAGTCTAAGTTAAAATAGAGGGGCTTGAGAATCCATTCTGTATGCTAGGAAGCCGATCCAAAGTTTCGTGATAGCTTTTTTTTTAACCAAAGAGAGCAATGCGAATAGATTAGAAGGTCGTAGATAAAATAGACAATTTAGTGTCACACTTCATAAGTACTCTCGATCAATCATATCATTCTTAGACAAAATGGGGTGCATGTACATTTATCGTCTCTAAGACTCGCTTTGGAGAAAATATTGAGTGCAATGGTTTCAATAAGTTAGCAGTGTCTCGTGATGTAACTGTCCACTAACAAGTTAACAAGTGAACCTCACAAAATTTAATAACCATTATAAATATAATATATAAGCACCTCCGTATAAAGAAAATGAGTCAACTTTATTTATTTTTTAATTTTTTTATTGAACTGTTATACCACGTGATACTCATAACTTAACTGGTACATTGAATATTTGCTCCCTTTTTTTTGTTAGCCATTCGTAATGCATATATGCGATTATGTTGTAGGAATTAGCACTCAGTAGAGTAGTGTGCGTGTTTGTTTACCCACTAAAACAGAAACTCCAACGCATGCCAAAACAAGAAATAGTTGTCACTTGTCACTTGATTAGGGCTGTTCATGGGTTGGGTTACCCACGAATTTTATTACGTGGTCCAAAAAAATAAATTTGAAATCCGATAGACTCGAGTGCAAGTCCAATATCTTAAAAAAAAAGGGTTTAAGTTTGTCCCTAAACTCATTATCCGGCATAAAGCCCAATCCAATAGCTCACCGAAAAAAACCTGTTAAAATCAAGCTCCCACCATTCATTTGAAAAAAAATTATATTTTTAGACTGTTAAATTTAAAAATTTGAAATAAGTTTCTCAATGTCGGAATTTATTTTTATTTTTTTCATTTATTAAGCATACAAGTTTTAAAGAGTAGAATAATTCAAATGATAGATAGGTGAGTAGGTGTCAATTTAGTTAGAATGTCTTCATTTTATTGAATGTAGTTCATCCTTTAATTAAAAATAAAATTATTAATTATTTTATTTTTATCTATTTTAACTCAAAAATATAATTTACACAAATATTAAGTTACAAAAATATTTATTATTTTTAAATAATATTATATATAAAAAAGTCCATGAATAGGCGCACCCAACAAGCTTGCCCACGAGTCCACTCAATAGACTTGTAGGTAGGTTATCCCGGCCCGGTCGATAACTGACTTGAATAAGATTTTAGGCTTACACTAGTCAACCTCGGCCCAAAAAAAATTTTGTTGACCTAACCCAGCTCCGCCCATGGGTACCCCTACACTTGATCCTATCCATTCATGGCCACAAGCAAGCCTATGGTACCGTCGAGAGATATTGTGACGAAATTTGATTTGTTAATTTTAATTAAGATGATTTGTAACTATTGATTAAAAAAATAATAAATTAATAAATATAATATAATAAAATAACTTTACGTGTTGTATATTTTTATTAGATAAAAGTAAAACATGATATCGAAATGTAGTATTTCAATTTTGTTGTCAAACCCCAAACAATCAACTTTTTAATTTTACCAACAAGGACATTAGTCGGGGTTTACCTACTCATACACTCTACTTACTCGGAGCTTCAATTGAGCCGAGTTGTGTCATTCTTCATTTGTGTTTTATCCATAAATAAGAAACCACTAAGATTAAGATTTTTTTTTTTCTCTTAATAAAATCCCCATATAAAAGTTTAATAAATTAAAAATCTACTTGGTTCAACTCTTAGCAAAACTACATTAAAAATCATTAAAAATTTTTAAACAATTCATATAGTACTCAATTGCAATAAAATAAGTTAGAGCAATGTTATAAGAATTTTATTTGGATACTTAGTTTAATGCACTACAACTATTGAATTAATTGTGAATTTTAATGTCAGATGAAGTTCACTTTCAATCTAATGACAATAATTGATTAAGTCTCCAAATTAGGTTTAAATGATATTTTTTAGTGAGTTAATCGTAATTGATATTAATCCAACTAATTTATTATTCGATTTAAAATAATCATATTGTTTTAAAGTTTTTATGAAATTCATAATGAGTCAGCCAGCGTATTCTGTCAAAAATTGACAATCATCAAATAGCATCATGTCGCTGTCATTTTCCTCATCTTCTTTCTCTCTTGCACCTCTCAGTACTCCACCACCATGTACTCATATAAGGTGCATGATAGCTGCCTTCCTTTGTACTGTTAATTGACTCAGTCCCCTCTGGTTGCCATCTCCTTTTTAAGTGTCACTCGCATGTCCAACCACCACCACGTGAACCCAACTCAATAATGCTGTTCCTTCCCCTTTATATAACTCTCAATCAGTCTTATTATCTTCAACATCGAAGAGACCCAGACATGATCGAGATCGAATGGTTTGAAATCATTCGGACACCCAGACATGATCGAGATCGAACAGTTTGATATTTCGATTGTGATGTTTAATCTTGTCGGAAATCCAACATATCTGGTCAAGGGTCTACAGGAATTAAGACTCATTACTTCACAATCTGTGAGAGACAGTTGTGAGAGACAGTGATATAATTCTAACAATCCTTGATGGCCCTTTGCATTCATAACCACTCGCCCACAGATGAATAACTATAGTATTGCATACTCAATCCGTAGAGTATGAACTTTGAACCACACGCCCGCTGATGAATTATTGTCGCATTGCATGCTCAAGCAGTAGAGTAGGACCTCAGTGGATAAGTGAAGGTCAAGTTGGAGATGATGAATTGATGATATAAGGAACACCAAATATGGTTCAAGCTCACAGTATTGACTATTGACTCAAAGGACACTGAGACGTAAAGATCACAACAATTACGGAATGATATTTGACGATGCACATGAAATTATCAAATAAAGAAGTTAAGACATTAATAAAAGATTTAGGCTATATTGAGGCGCTGTGAAATAGTATCGGAGATAAACTGTTGCCATTCCGTGAAATAGTATCAGAGATGTGCTGTTGCCATTTGATGTGGGCGACTCAACCGAAGAATGGTTGGAGACGTATTCATGTAAACTATAAGTCGAGATAAACTCGTGGTTTACATAAAAGGTGAAAAGACGTCGGAATTGAAGGCCAAGTCCATTCTTTCTCAATAATGTCGAAAACCTTGATTTAACTACTACATTTTACTGCTTTAAAGAGAAGGAACAAACCATATTACATGGCAGACTTGAATAGGATACGTGAAGTATAGGTATCAATTTTCAATGTTAAACGAACTGAGTGAGTATCTGATCAAAAAAAAACTGAGTGACTCGGTATTACTGGAGTCAAAAGATATCATTGGAAAATAACTTATATTATGGTGAATGCAGATAATTAACAGACTATAGTATACCAAAATAAACAGCAATAACAGGAAATTCGACAACAAATCGTACAAGGGTATAAGAGATATACTCTTTTCTAGTGGTATTTCCTTTCTCCTCATTGACCACGTTGCTCATCTTCTTCTCTGGTTTGTGCCGAAGAACTTGAAGATGATGCCATATTCAGGGCTTGCCCATGTGTGAACCTTTGTAATTGTATCATACGTGCATAACACCCGTCAGGGTGGTTTTTCAATAGGTGTGAGTGGGAACCTTGTTCCGCCACTTTCCCATCGTCTATCACAGCAATGACATGGGCGTTTCTTATTGTTGATAGCCGGTGTGCCACCACAATGGTGGTCTTTCCCGAGCAAGCGCGCTCCAAAGCGTCTTGTACAGACCTTTCTGACTCTGCATCAAGGGCACTTGTAGCTTCATCTAGCAGCATTAGCTCTGCCTTCCTTAAGAAAGCCCGAGCAATGGCGATTCTTTGCTTCTGTCCTCCAGACAATTGAACTCCCCTTTCCCCAACAAATGTTTTGTAGCCATCAGGCAATGAGGAGATGAATTTGTGTGCATTTGCCAGAGTAGCTGCTTCAATTATCTCAGCTTCTGTTGCTGACTCATGCCCATAAGCAATGTTTTCATAAATAGTTGTAGCAAAGAGGCATGGCTCCTGGGACACCATTGCAATGTGGCGTCGCAGTGACTTAAGGTTGTATTTTCGGATATCTTTCCCATCAATCATAACACGTCCCGATGATGGCTCATAGAATCGCTGTATAAGTGCAATAACTGAACTCTTACCACTCCCACTAGGACCCACAAGGGCAAGAGTTTTGCTAGCTCGGGCACGAAGAGTAAGGTCACGGAAAATAGGCACATCAGGGCGAGTGGGATAAGAAAAATCTACATGCTTGAATTCCACTTCCCCACGAAGGTGGTCAGGAACTTGGGTAGCATCTGCATCATCAGGATCAATTTCAGTTTTGCGGTCAAGAAGGTCGAACACAGACCTCATTGCTCGACCACCCTTGATGAAATCAGGGGCTAGGGTCAGTGTTTCAGCTGCACCATTGGCGGACACCATGAGGACCATGAAAACACGGATTGTCTTAGAGAAGTCAGAGATCCCATGCTTCACGAGCCAGGAGGCATACCAAAGGCCCAGGGCATAGGAAGCATAAAGTAAGAACTGTGCTATCCCATATCCACTTCCAGCAATCTGTCCCTTCCAAAAACAACGCCGCAGTGGAATTTGTAGATTGGAGGTGAATAAGCTGAGGATTTTGGATTCTGAATTGAAGGCAGCAACTGTTCTTACATTTGCCACAGCTTCCCCTGCTAGTTGTGTTGCTTTGGAATGTGCAGCTTCTAGGTCTCCCGAGAATCCATTCATGAACATTTTCTGTTGAAATTGTGACAAACTGCATTAGAACTGGATTCTTACAATGCCTAATTGCATTTTCACCCCAAGGGAGGCACATAAATAAATTAGCATTTTGATAAATTCGCCTGGATTTTGATTGAGGTTTGAAGTATTTAACATGCATGTTCTTAGGACTTGTTTGTTGAAAACAAACCTGCAAAACAGTGGCTGCCACGACAATAGGGAAAACAGCAATGAGGACAAGGGCTAGACGCCACTGTAAAACAAACCCTGCAGTGCAGGCTACTAGCATGAGAGCTGAGTTCTGCATGATCACCGAAATGCGGTCCCCAATAGCTGACCTAACATTGTTGGCATCAAGAGCCAGCCTTGCCGCAATTCTAGAACTCTCATTTTCCTCTTGATCAAACCATGCCATTTCATTTTTCAGAACTGCCGTCAGCATTTTCTCCCTCACACGTTTTGTTAAATTTTCACCCACAACATCCCAGAAAAAATGTTGCATTGTGTTGAAAATAAGTGCAGCTGATGACACCCCAATCAAAAGGTAGCAGTATTTTGCGATTTCTCTGCTCATAAAGCCATGGTTTGGATTGTAGTAGACACTGAGGACAGCACTCAAGACATATGCAAAGAAGGCACTAAGGGAACCACAAACAACAGAGCCTATGGAACCAACTAATGCATAAGCCCACTCAGGAGAATTCATTTTTGCAAGGCGCCAGAAGGAACTAGCTTGCTCCTTAAATGCAAGCTTTTCAAGCCGATAATTGGGGTATGCAGCATCCAGGGAGAGGCTGAAGTCAGAAGTAGAAAAGTCAGATAGCCGGCGTGAGTATGGTGATCGGCCATATGAAGAGTTTCGGGCAATTATTGGGGAGCTTACTGAATTCCTTGCACTAGAAGGCCTGCAAAGGGAAGAACCACGTTGACAACAAATCATCAGCTCACTTGATATCTTTATTACTCAGCATGTTCTTAGGAACGGCTGACAGTACAGAGCTCTCAAAATTGAATTCCAAATTGGACTTCAAGAACTGCCACAAAAGGTTTAAAAAGCTACCTTGCACTGCTCTTTCTAGCATTATTAAGAGCAGTTTCATGAGCCATTTCCTGCATTCGGATAAGCTTAGCATAGATACCATTGTCTCCTTTGCTAATGAGCTCATCGTGGGTTCCAATTTCAGAGACGCTACCCAGCTGCAGCACAGCAACAAGGTCTGCCTTACGGATGGTGGAGAGGCGGTGGGCGATGACAAGAGTTGTCCTCCCAATCATGAAGCGATCAAGTGCCTCCTGCACTAGCTTTTCTGATTCAGAGTCCAACGCACTTGTCGCCTCATCTAAAAGCAAAATTGCTGGGTTTTTCAGCATTGCTCTTGCTATAGCTATTCTCTGCTTCTGTCCACCTGAGAGTTGCAATCCTCTCTCTCCGACCTATGATTTCAAATAAATACTTCACTTCTATTTGTTTAATATTATTGTATGTCTACCAATGTTTTCTCCCAAAATATTTACTCACATTCCATTTGATTCTTTACAAAACACTGAAACAGAAATCGAAAATTTAAATGTTTATAAGAAGGATAGCATTGAACAAAGAACCAAGTGTTCTTTCCAGTTCTGAAAGACAACTTAACAATCAAACAATGCATGAATTGTTCTCTACTCATCCAGGATAATTGTGAGAATCTCGAGGCTTAACCAAACGTAAATTGTCCTTCACTTTGAAGTAGGCTACAAAAAGGGATGCATCTCTTTCTCAAACTTTGTTTAGTCAGAAATTTCATTCTATGTCACACTCAGACAAAATATTCCAGTAAACTAACTTAACATTATGCATAAGTAGATGCTTGTGCAACCATTTGTCCCTACTCTCCCGTTAATTATCATCCTTTAGATCCTCCATGGCAATATTAGAGTCCGAGTCCCATAAAATCTCCAGTAATTGTTTATTTTTGTGGGGTTCATTCTTATTATTATTGATTTGGTCAACCCAACATGCTCTTTATTTTCTATTTGTTTTTAACTGTGTTCTCTCTCTCTCTCTCTCTCTCTCCTGGTCTTCCTGCCCATCCTGCTAAGCTCACAAGTCATTGTTTCTCCAGGTTTTTATTTATATCTGCACATGCATTGTTGACTGAAACCATGTTAACTTTTTTAAATGCAGGACCATACACCTCCCTACATTGACTTTAAAAAAGTTAGGTTTGTTTGTTGACCAAATAAGCCATTTATTGATTGAGTATTTCACCTTCCAGGCAAGTACTGACTAAATCCATAGGAAAATATATCCATATTAACTACAAGGGGCCATTGGTAGATGCAATGGTAAAAACCTGAGCAATGAAGTGTAAGAACTAAGAATACAAGCTCGAGTTTGAGAGTGAAGATTCATTTTCAAAGGCTTAGAAAGATCAGATAATCTGTCAAGACTCAAGACAGCTTAATTTTGTTGTGAACAAGATTTAAAGGGAAGATGCTTAACCAATAATCTTACGTTAATGCCTTATGTTATCTAACCTGAGTATCATAGCCATCAGGAAGCTTGACAATGAATGAATGGGCATTGGCAACTCTTGCAGCTTCTTCGACCTGAATTAGACTTGCATCGGATCGACCCAAGAGTATGTTTTCCTTAATCGTGGTAGCAAACAGAGCTGGTTCTTGGCTGACAAGCCCAATTTGCTGCCTCAGCCACCTCAGCTTTACTGTCTTTATGTCATGCCCATCCAGCAGAACTTGTCCTGCACAGCAACTATTTATTAACAGAGATTTTCATTCGGTCACACATTTCGTCGGACATAATGACTCCATGAACTCAGAACCAGAAATAACTTCAACCGGCAGAGATGTACATTGAAATTTTGTTTAACAAAATGGGTAAAGCAAGGTTGGGAAATTATTACGAAATCACTGTGTAGTAATTACCTGAAGTGGTATCGTAAAATCTCTCAATGAGGGAAACTACAGTGCTCTTGCCGGAACCACTGCTTCCAACCAGAGCTATCGTCTTCCCGGCTGGGACATTTAAGCAGAAATTGTTGAGTATTTGGATTTCTGGCCTTGATGGGTATGAGAAATCCACATTTTTCAGCTCTACCTGTCCTGTAACAGAGTCTAATTCCAGACCCAATTCACTGTTTCTATCAACACCTGGTTTGTGATCGATTATTCGGAAAATTTTAGCGGCCGCAACTCTGGCCTTTGCAAATGCAGCCATGCTTGGAGCAGACTGTCCTAAAGCCCTGCAATTCAATAAGAACATTTGAGCAAAAATTTCAATTGGGGATATAGAATGTGGGAGATATGGGGAAGAGAGGACTTACAAGCCGCCAATCATAACAGAGAACATTGTGGCTATGGCAAGTCCTCCATTGGTGAAGTGGTGCCTAACCAGATAACCCCCATACCAAAGCAGAAGTGCGTAACCACAGAACACAATGAAGTATGTTGCCCCAAGTCCCATTCCCTTGGCGAAACCACTCTTGTAGCCCAGCCTCTGAGAAACCTTCAATGCTGCGGAGTATGCTTGTAATGCTCTTGACTCACCAACAAACGCTGTAACGGTCCGGATTTGGACAATTGTCTGCAATTCAGCTCAAAATCAGTAATACCCACATGGAAAAACAGATATAAATTGATATGAACTGGGTGAATTCAATCCCCAATAAACCCAATGAAGATGACACAATTTATTGAAAAGTTCACTTCTCTCACCTGTTCTACAACGTTTCCTGCTTGTGAAAGAGCTTCCTGGCTCTTGGCAGTTAGCTTGGCTAATGTGGAGGTGTAGATGGCTGCAATTACAGCTATGAGAGGAACAACGCCCAGAGTGGCCAGGGCTAATTGCCACACAGCAGTGAAACCAACCACAAATCCAGACACAAATGTTGCCATATAGTGTATGAAATTGCCCAACTGTAGAACACATAAAATAGTCCAATTCAGATTCTAGTATTAAGATATCACTACCAAAATTAAAGACGACCCCAAAATAAAATAATCGGGATAGAGGCTTAGATGAGTTGATTTTTATCTTCACCTTCTCGCTAATGGCGTCTTGGACCATCACTGCATCGGTATTAATGGCAAAAACCACATCCGATGTTCGAACCACTGTGTCAAAGTATTGAATATCTTGATTCAAGGCTGCTTCTAAGTACTTAATTCTCATTTTGGTAGATTGCCTCTCTCCAGTCCACATCCAACAAGATATCTCTGTAACCAATTCAAGCTTTTACCAATTTCAATCACATAATTTAAGAACAGAAACCAAATGAAAGATACTAATATTAAACCCACCTGCCCATGAAGATGCCCATATTGCAGCTCCAACTACGAGAAAGTAAAATGCATACTACAAAACCACCAAGAAAAGAATGTTACTTTTTCTTGAAAGAATATTATCAAGAGCCTAAAGTTTTGGAATTGTATATTACCTTCAAAACTTCTTGTGCCATCTTATCAACGTTGTTGGCATTAGCCCCAAAGGAATTAACAAGATCAGCGAAAAATCGGAGAAACAACGGCAATGAACAACCATGTATAAAGGCACCAACTGTTCCAATTGCCATCAAAACATAGTCCAGTTTATCTGCAAATCTGAAAAGCTCACCAAACCCAGCTGTGGGAATCGCTGAACCAGGCTTCTCTCCATGCCCACCATCTTTCTTTCCCTCAGAAACCTCCATTTCTCTTCTCTCTCCTCCTCTGTTCTCACTCTCTGCACTAAATTCTTTGTCCACAAACACTTGGGCTTCTCTCTCTTCTATGTCTGTTATTATTGATGGTGTAGTTGGTTCTGTTGTTGGTGTTGGTATGGGTGTTGTTGTTGGTGATGCGTTGTCTTTAAAAGAGTTGTCTGAGGGAGCTGACACAAGTTCAAGACCTTGCATTTCAGACCATCTCCACTGCTCAATCGTCTTTATCTCCTTAGAATCTTGTAACATTGCTTTACAATTACAAACAAACCCACCACCTCCCTCTTTATTATTCTCTCTCTTAGACTTTGGAGCTCAGTTTTTCTTGCTACTTTATTTTCTCTCTTTGTAATTTACACTCATTGCTTCACCACCCCCCAGACAGGAAAACAACTGTTTGGGTTAAATGTTATTTACAAGTTGGGTGGTTTCTTCGGTTGCTTCTTCTGTACAACACGCACACACCCAGAGAGATTGACTGGTGATGAGATGACGAGCACAGGAGAGAGAGAGAGAGAGAGAGAGCTTTGGGCCCCGACAAAGAATACTACGTGAAAACTTGAGATTGGGTTTTTGACCATTCTGGCTTAACCGGTGGAATTATGAAATCCTTAACCACCACGCCTGATAGTCCTTTCGAAAACGAACCTTGGACTATTCGACTATAAAGAACTGTAGGTGTTGGCTTGTTCTATAAGCACAAATGGTTAAAGGTTGCAGAGTTGCTACTTCATGTTCCAACTATACCTCTTTCTCCATCTAATCTATCTATTTCTTGATTTCATTTCTTTTATAATTTTTTCTATTTGCATAATATACAGATATTTATATCCTTAGACATATGCAGTGTCCATAAATACACAGTAATATTTGTGTTTGTTGACCGAGGAATTGATTGTAATCTAATAATTATTTTTTTCTACTGTATTGACTTTACTGTAAAATAGGGTGAAAATATCATTTAACCTGGTGGGATTGCAATAAAACTGAGTTGTTTGAAATCCATTCTTAATTTTTGTTGTCATGAATTAACCTCATGAGAATCTTGTAATATAACTCAAAAAGATTATTACTTGATTAATGTTAGGGGTAGAAATTGCGCGTTTGGATCTCATCCCTGAATACAAAAGATTCTGGCTGGCCTGCACCATTTCCTAAGGCAATACAGTAGCATTTACTTCCATCCCATATCGGGTAAGAGTCGTCTCCTCCCTGCCATATAAGTGAACACTTCCTATTTCAAATAAAGGATGAGATCCGTAGTGATTTCTATCCCTTACAATTAACACAAAGTAGTTTGCAAATGAATACCCATTTGAATTCCACTAATCATTATGGAAAAACAGCTTGGATCTAATCAAATCTCCACTACACTTTGTCTCAATCCTCTTCACTTCTGGCCAAATTTTTGCAATTTTCCAGAACAATCCCTATACTTTCCATCAAGCTTAATGGAAACTCCTTATTCAACCATCAATTTAGGTATAAAAAACCATTTCCTAGACATGTACGTTTTTTGCCAGAAAAATTATCACTAAATCTATAGATTCCTCTGGGTTTATCTCTTTACAGAAAATGGACAGCAAATTAAAATTTTTAGTACGGTTTTGTTCTTTTTTAGAGTTCAGAGGACGATTTTGTGGAGTTAAATAAACTAATTATGCTAAAATAGGTTGTCTTATTTGGAGTTTTGTGGTATGTGTCAAAAGTAAATTACTTTAACCACGCCTTTGGAGTTGGAAAAACAAAAATAAAAAATCAGTGAGTCAGCTCTTTTTCAGCTACACCGGAGTAAAGTAAACTGAGATCTGACTTAGTGCAAATTCTTTTAAGTTGCAGACAGAATAAGATTAAAATTTAGTATTTAATGAAGGTAGTCCCCTGTTTTCAGTACTCTCTCTGCACCTCCTCCACAACAAAGGTTTCTTTTTGCTTCCACCACCCCATGCCCATTTGTCTTGGTCATGTAAAACCTAGAGGGTTATTTCTATTCATCAACCTCAAATGGCGAAGCTCCATCGGTTACTTTCTCAAAGTCCCGAGTTTAAGTATCGCAGAAGACACTCAGAATGAGTGCAATTTGTGAATTACTATGTCTATCCCCAGTTAATGTTGTAGTTACCAGTCAAAAAAATACGTGATTAAAAATCATTATCCACGAACCCATGACACTGGCAACCTTAAAATCCTCCCTTGAAAATATGTACAAGGTGCAGTGACTTTAGATAAGAGATGACCTAGTTCAGAAGTTAGGGCCCACTGTGATTTAAATGTAACAGAAGAGACTCGTTCAAAACAACTCTCTCCAGTAGGCTGAACACATGAAGGTAACCAATAATTTGGAAACAGGTAAAAATACTCAGAAAGTTGTACCTGACCCAACTCTTTTGGTTTCTTCCATTGTTGTCACATATAAAGACCTGCATGTACTCAATTGTTGTGGCCCCTCTATCAGTAGGACCTCAATATACAAGCCAAGTTATACATTTGCGTAAATTACAATTTACACATTTATTTTCCCCCAAGTTTTAATTGATATAATTACATTTTTAAAGTTTTAATTGAATTTCAATCCAATTATTCTATTCAGACCTATTAATTTGTTCTGATAGAAAGATGTCACGGAATTTATCCATAAGAGTATATTTGTCCAGCAAAAAATATCTCAAATATAATAATATATCTCTATTTGTCTCACAATATCTCTCAAATTCTCATGATATTGTTTTGGGTTTGTTATCTTTTTCTTTTCTCAAAATCAGATGAAATAAAGTAAGATTTTTTAGCCTGCACATAATAGATTTTTCATCAGACAAATATATATTTTTATCCAAGTCATGTGCTGGTCACAAAAAATTCTTATGCCACAATAAATTTGATGAATTTTGATGTAAGAATTAAATTGAAACTCAATTAAAATTATAAGGATTTGATCGTTGCAATTGAAACTTCAAGGACCAAATAAAAATTAGGTGCATACTTTAAAAATACAAATTATAATTTAATATATCTTCAAATATAAAATCATCATCATCATTTATGATCCATGACTTGCTTGGTTAGAGCAGTAACTACTTTAAATGAGTTCATTCCTGTTGCTTCAAAATTTGCTAGGATCAACAGAGATATTTCAATCGACAGACTATTTTTAGGCGACTATTTGTAAGGGGTTCGAATGCCTTATTTTAGGATTTCCTTTGATGAAAAAAACAATGAAAGATGATTTATATATTAACTCAATCGAAAGGACTTCGGTTATAGAAAGACTGAGTAAACAACATTGATTACAACACTGATTACAACACTAACTGTCTTCTAAATCTAATTTAAAACTGCTTCAAATAATTGCGTCTTTTGGGGGATTGAGTGTATCATTTATCTTCTCAATTACATGTCTTTTTATAGTTATTGCTTTCGACGGTTTTGCTCCTGTCGATAGCTACTGATTGGTAACTTCCACTAATTATTTATTTCTTTTCAAATATGATTTTGACTGATCATCTTCATCCTTCTTTAGAGTCTAGCACTTTCTAAATGAGCTTGGGATGCTAAATGTTTATACACTGAATATTCGTAGAATTTAATATTTTATGTCCAGACAATGCCCCCTCATTTAATTGAGTGATAACTCAGATAAATGAACAGTTATAACTGTTTAGCTTCTGCACACCTATTTTAAGGTTTCGATTGCTGCGCTGGTCACTCGAACTAACCTTCGTACTTCTTATCGTCGCCTTTTCTTTGCCTTTGACAATCTTTTTATCTCTTGTTCTTGGTCTTTTGATTCTTTCTAATGGCATCTAAACAAAAAATGGACCATTCCTCTTCTTCTATTCCTTCTCTAAATGCTTCTTTCCTTCCTCGTTTTCGTACTAGTCTTTGGTATGCCATTGGGGATTTAATTGATGAAAACATTTTGATCATTTCTCTGGATTCTAGCTCAAATTTTGTATTGGGCCCTGCCTTTAAATCAGATATTTTTTCAGGGCTACTTAAGCATTATCCTATTCCCAAGGGAAAATTTTGATGCTCCATTGTCCTCAACTTCGGTGGGAATCTTGGGAACAAGGGCTTTCTCCTTTGAAATTTTGGGTTGATCCAGACCAACAATGATCTAACTGGGTAAAATGAATGGAGACGCATTTCTCCAATCAATGGAGAGAACATAAAATCTATGAACAAATAAAGCTCTCAACAAGCCCACTGTTTATGAATCGTTGGCTCATAGGTGCAACCATCTATTTTTTGTTACAATCTTGCAATGACATGCTACTTCCTTTTGGCATGATGGCTCTATCTATCCTTAATGTTGTGCATTTGACAGGGCTTTCATCGACTGGGATAGAGGTAACTGCATGTCTAAAACCTAAACATGTTTTGTCAAATCGTCTAGATAACTTCAACTATTCATTCCACACACCCTTCTTTTGCAAGCCAAACTCTACCCCTCATTCTTTTGAAGAACAAGTGGTTTTCCTCCTTCACTGGCTTTGTCTCTTTGTCCTTTGCATCCCTAGTCTCAAGATTACTATGAAGTATTCCAATATTGCTGGTTTTTTGGTCGATCAAAAAGTTATGGCCTAGCTCCTTTTGTTTTAGGAGCTCTTTATAAAGACATTTTCAACATAGCCGAAAGAGTAATTGATAGCAATTGTGGAGGACCTTATTGGTTGTTCTAGGCATGGCTATATGCCTACTTCCCTAAAACTTAGTTCATCGAATATCTTCCCCTTCCTAAATTTAAACCTATCAATTATCTCTTTTCTTGTCTTTTTCTGAATGTCTCTACTCATCTTTACGTCTTAGAGCATTTTTTTTACAGCTCCATCGATCCCACTGAAGAGCAAGCTGATTATTTTGACACATTTTGGGGCAATGTTCTCCTTCTTTACCACCTCCATGAAAGCGGCGCAATTTATGATTTCAAGTACTCCAAATATAGTTTTTGAGAATTACTCTCCTAGTCAGATAGCTAGACAACTTGGCTTTACTCAGAGAGTTTCCAATGCCTTTTATGCATTATTTCATCCATGAGCCTACAACTCAAAGGCTCAAATTTAGAGACCCTTATCTTGTTCATTTGATCTCTTTGGCCTCTAATAAATTATTAAATGCCATTCATTTTAAATATATTCATGGGGAACCATCTGTTTCTCCTCTTTTTGTGAACTGGTGACAAAATGTTTCAGCACTGATTTTTTTTATAATAATTCAGATAGGTGCATGTCCAGATTATGTTTTGACAATCAAAAACCAAATGACCTGTGCTTTTTGCCAGTAGATTTACTTGGCAAAATTCAGGCAGGTTCATCCATGGTAAATCCTTTAGAGTTTTTCTTTTTTGTCGAGGGTCATCTTGTGATAGATATCCTCTTGAAGATCCTGTTGTTAGGGATACTTCTCATTCAAAGAAAAATTTTAAACAATAACTAACAGAAGCTGCTATTGAAAAAAAGTATGTATCTTCTTCTAGACTACTTGTACAAGTGGTAGAGGATACTGGAATCAATGAAGCTGAATCAGATCATTCTCCAACCCACCAAGGAATTTCTTTTA